TTATTTCCAAAAATGGTCATATTTTAATATTTACGTTCAATATACTTTGCATGTGCTACATTACAGCCAACTAATTTAAATGTCTGGATCGCCAGCATGCTGGCCACCAGGCGATGCAGCATTGGTCAAAGCAACTGGGGAATTTGCCGGTTAAATAGCTGGTGAGCAAGGCTATGAACTGTAACTGGTCAAAATAATAAAGGAATTAGCATTATTAGTGACAAAAATCCTCTTGCAATTAATTTCCAGCAGCTTTCTGTGTGAAGTCAGCGCAGGAGGAAGTAGTCTGAGTAGCAGAGCTTTATAAAAAAAAAGCTATCCATTGTCTAGGCTGGCAGCTGCCATGGAGTCTGAAAATGGTCCTGGCGCCCTAGCACAGGTAAATGTCACCACCAAAAGAAAGGTTTTTTCAGTGACAGATTCGAAACACCAGCCCCAAGCTAACTATGGCGATACTACCGCTATAATTGGTACAAAATTATTGTTCCTTCGTGTATACTATAAGTTTCGTTATATTTCCAGTGTGCTTCATTATTAGCAAAAATCTATCCGTTAAATCTGTTTCCTGAATCAAAATTTCAAAAACCGCTCTGCACATGCTTTCTCTTTTTCGAAGGTTGCTTACAAGCAAACCGACGACAAACTCTTTAAATAACAATTATAATTTTTCTTGGACTTAATAAGTAAATTAACGGCCAGTATCAAATATTTAGTGGCACGGCTAGTTTTAAAAATCTTACTAATCCGTCCATCCTTCCGAATGACAACACCCAGTATTGTGTAGAGCGTTACGGTTGTTAAATTGATAAGGAATGCTGATAATGTCCAGATTTGATGTGCTAGTCCGCTATAAATGGCAACCACAACGCACTGAACTTGAGCGCTGAAAAGAAAATGTATCAGATCGGACACTAATTAAAACTATGGAAAATACTGCAAAATCTATATCTTTCCCAAATTTTGCTGTATTCTGAGTCCTGAAACGATTCTATTCTTGTTTTGATGTCAGCAGATCTGAAACTGCAAATTTTGTGCGTGTTTATCAAGAAGTCGTCCGTGTGTTTGTGTTTTAAAGCGAGTAAATATTGTTACGCACTTTTAAATCAGAAATCAGAAAGGCTGAAAGGATAAAATTGTGAGGCCAATTGGGAGGCTAAAATTGTGAAGCTGAAT